AAGAATCCTAAGAACCAACCAGATGGACACAGACAGAATCCTCTAAGGCTCAGAGATTGGTGGCACTAGAAACTTTTGAGATTGGATGTAGGGCAGGCAATAAAGAGGATTGGTGGAAAGCTGTTTAAAAAGCAGTTAGGGATGGGAGTTATTGCTTGATGGGTACAGAGTTTCTGTTTGGGGTGATGAAAAATTTTGGAGGTAGATAGTGGTGATGGTTGCGCAACATTGTGAATGTACTTAATGCCAGCTGTAGGCTTAAAAATGGTCAAAAGGGCAGGTTTTATCTTATATATGTTTTACCAAAATAAAAAAAGAAGCAGTCAGCCCCTTGCATCCCCCAACTCCAATTCCTGGCTGCTGGATAAGATGCCTTCCCACCCTGGCCAAAATACGAGTGCTTTATTTTCTGGAGAGGTAGAAGAGAGGTTCCATGGACAGTGGGGCACCAGGCACAACTGAAGTCAGGGGTACCATTTTGAAAATAGGAGGACACAAATGACTGAATGCAAACCAAACGCTGAGGCTCCCAGCCTCTCCGCTGCTCTTGTCCCTACTTGAATCCCAGATCACAGGCCTTGACCTTCCTGGCAGGAGACTGGAAGAATGCTCTCTGTGGAATCTGGGTAGTTCAAGAAAGAAGACTTGAAGAGACTGACATCGAAATTTCCTGGAAGATGGCCCAGCCATATCATTTGACAGTGTCGTTCACAACAAACAAGTCTCATCAATGGCCTCAGAGCCTCCAGTCAGTGTTTTAGGCCCCTACTCTTAAGTTTGATCACCAGAAACCTGAGGAAAGACTCTGATGTGAAAGCCTGAAATCCAAACAAGTCATAGGCAGGCAGAAAAAGGCAATGGGGAGGAACCAGAGATTGAAGGGAGAAGAAAATGTCAACGAAAAAGGCTCTCATGAATATCTTTAGAGACATAAGAGATGACACTGCATCTATGAAACAAAAAAAGAATACTTTTAGAAATGCAAATCATGTGAGCAGAAATGAAAAACTCAACAGAAGGGTCAGAAGATAAAGCTGACCAAATTTCTTAGACAGTATAACAAAAATGGAAAAATGCAAAGTAGAAGATAAAAAATATATAAATCTATCTAGCTATCAGTCTAGGATGTTCAACATCTGAATGATGAGAGTTGGAAGGAAAAAACAAAGAAAATGGACAGGAGAAAATAATCAATAAAATATTTAAGAAAAATTTCCATTGCTTAAGAACATGAAAATAAATCAACACTAAAGGTTTTCATCACAAAATTTTACAGTACTGTTATATTAGTTTTCTATTGCTGTGTAATAAATTACCATAAACATAAGTAGCTCAAATCAACATACATTTATTATATCACAGTTTCCATGGGTCAAGGGTCTAGACACAGTTTAGCTGGTTTCTCTTCTCAGAGTCTCACAAGGCAGCAGTGGGATGAGTTCCCATCTGGAGCTTGGGGTTCTCTTCCAAGCTCATGTGAGTTTTGGTAGAATTCAGTTCACTGTGGTTGTAGGACTGAGATCTTTGCTTCCTTAATGGCTGTCAGCTAGGGCTGCTCTCAGCTCCTAGAGATCCCTCGGTTCCTTGCAACGTTGCCCTTTCACAGGCCCTCTCACAACACGGCAACTTACTTCTTCATAGCCCACAGGAATATCCCTCACTCCAGTCTAAGACAGAGTCTTATATAATGCAGTCACATGAGTGACTACCCCATCACCTTTGTCATAGAGCATAACCTCATCAAGGGAGTGACTTTTCCTTCACCTTTGCTATATTCTATTGGCTAGAAGCAAATCACAGGTTCTGTTCACACTCAGATTAAATAAGGGAGTAACTCACGGGAGTCATCTTAGAATTCTGCCTACCATAACTGTGGACCAAAAGAAGCTCTTATAAACCTTCAGAGAGAAATAAATAGCCTTATTCGAATGATCAGGAAGTAGAATGATTCAGCCTTCTCAACAGCAATGTTGGAAGCTATGGAGTAATGCTGTCAAAATTCTGAAATGAAAGGATTTCCATCCTACAATTTTATACCCAGCCAACCTGTCCATTGAGTGTGAAAGTAGAGTATAGACATCTTTGGGGAAAAAAAGTCTCAAATGTTTACCTCCCACACACTCTTTCTTAGGAAGCTGCTGAAGACTATGCTCTATAATTCAAAGGAGTAACTAACAAAAGGAAGACCTCTGATCCTGAAGACAGGAAATAAGGAGAATCTCCAGCACAGTGGTGAAGGCACATTCTCCAAAGAGAAGTCTGACCAGATCAGAGCAGGTCAGAAGGCGTGGCAAGGGGAAATTTAAGATGAAATTGGTAGAACAGCTGAGGTGAGTGAATGCGATGAAAAAAGATTTAGACAACTGGCAGGGAGATTTTTAGCTGAATTTGTGATAAGAACATAAAAAATTAATCAAACAGAATAAAAGATATTTATTAACTCCAGGGATATAAAAAATTATTCAGGAAAGGAAATGGAACTATGTGGCTCAGCTCTGAATAAGTATAGGTTCATTATGATGTAAATACTGACCAGTAATCTAACCAGAGTAATGATATATAGTTCTGAAAGGAGGGTGTGATGGGTTGAATTGTGTCCCCCCCAGAGATGTTGAAGTCCTAACCCCCAGTACTTGTGAATGTGACCTTAGTTGGAAATAGAGTCTTTGCAGGGATCAGGTTAAGGTGAGGTCATTAGGGTGGGCTCTATTCCAATATGAGTGGGGTCTTTATAAACAGGGGAAACCTGGACATGGAGGCAGAGATGCAGTGGGACACCACCTGAATATTGGAGTTAGCTGCCACCAGCCAAGGAATGACAAAAATAGCTGGCAAAAGCACCAGAAACTAGGAGCAAGGCATGGAACAGATTCTTCCCCATAACCCTCAAGAGGAACCAATCGTGCCAACACTGTGGTCTTGGACTTCTGGCCTCCAGACCTGTGAGACATTTCTGTTGTTGAAGCCCCCAATGTGTGGTCCTTTGTTGCAGCAGCCCTAGGAAGCTAACACAGATGGGAAGGATGTGTGTATTGGTGGCGGGCAGGAAAGGGAGAGGAGGGGGCTAGCGCTCCATCTTCTTTAGTGGGAAGTTCACAGATCATTCCCACAAATAAAGAATCAAGAAATCACAGTATCAGCAGTAATAAGCATGGTACTTAGAGATAGCAACGTAAATACCAAAAGAATCATCTGAAAGAATTAAAAGTTGTTGGGGCCGGCCCCGTGGCTAAGTGGTTAAGTTCGCACACTCCGCTTTGGTGGCCCAGGGTTTTACCGGTTCAGATCCTGGGTACGGACATGGCACTGCCCATCAAGCCATGCTGAGGCGGCATCCCACATGCCACAACTAGAAGGACCCACAACTAAAATATACAACTATGTACTGGGGGGCTTTGGGGAGAAAAAGGAAAAATAAAATTTTTAAAAATTAGTTATATCAGTGCTAAAAAAAGAATTAAAAGTTGTTGCGTATGGGGATGAGATAAGGATGTAGGGAAAAGGAAGGCTGGAGCTGCTGTTTATCATAGGAAAAGTCTTTGAACCAGATGACTTTTCACCTTAAATGCATAGACTGATAAAAATAAAAACTTAAAAAATGTCCAATATATCAGCAATTATTAACTAGAAAATATAAAAGAGACAAGAATGCCATTCACAAGGGCAATGAAATCCATATAACGGTACCCAAGAATTATCCTGAACAGGACACGTGCCAGATCTTTCTGGAGAAGACTCTAAAAGTTTACCAAAGGACAAAAGTAAATAAAAACTGGACTGACCTTGCCCTAGGCAGTGCATGTGATGGAGGAAACAGCGGATGAACATCACAGCACAACGTGCAAGGGGCTACTTGACTGGGGAGAGAGTGTCCAGCTCTGCCTGGGGAAGTCAGAGGAGGTTCTACAGATGATGTGGCCTTGGAGTGAAAACTTGAAAGGCAGAGAGTTCTTGGGGAGGGAGGAGATATTCCAGCCTGAACCAGCGGACGTGTGTTTGGGGAATAGTAAGGTGTTTGACACGAGAGAGAAAAGTGGGCATGATGGAGGATGGCAGGAGATGAAGCTGGACAGTGAGGCAGAAATCGGGTTATTAAAAAGCCGTGTACACAACGGAGTGTTGGCTCTATTTTCTGGGCATGGGAGCCTTTGAAGGTTTTCAAGCAGCAGAATGAGAGAGAAGGTGATGTTTGTCTTGTCATATAAGCATGTGGGTGCCTTCTCAATACAGAGGTCGTTGTGGACAGAGAGCCTGTGTCACTGGCTTGAATTCTTCAGGCAGGCTCTGTAGGACACCTCCCGACAGCCTGCCCAGACCGTAGTGAGCCATTGCTCCAGGGGCGTTATTATCTGGTGTTAGGAACCCATCTGAGGAGGTGAGCTCTACATCCATCGCTGCCGCCTCCAAGAGAGGAAGCTGGCCCAGGTGCAGGTGGGTGGGGACATAGCACTGGAGTATCCGAAGCTCCTGCCTTCCATGGCTCCTCCTGCTTGTCGGCAGTGGGCTGAAACGCCAGGCGGAGACACCACAGTGCCTGCACAGGCATGGCGGGAGTGTGGGCTCCTCCTCCAAGGAGCCCCGAAAGCGCCTGTGATCAGCCATATTATAATGGTGAGCGATTATAAAAGGAAAGTTGGTGACTCTTCTTAACTCCAGGAACAACAAGGGCTTTTGTAGCCATGTTGCCTATGTCCCTCTGTAGACAACCTCGCTCATGGGTGGGAAGCCAATGGTCCCAGGTGCTGTGTGGCTGAGCGGGGCTCAGCGTCCCTGGGGCAGGGGCACACTGAGAGAGGAGGAGTGGCGTGGAGACCTGCTTCTGAGACTCTCTGGCCGGGGGTCAGTAGATGTCAGCCTGTTCCTCTCACACTGTCCACCTCACGGGCCACCTCCAGGCTCCAGTGTGCTGGCCTTCCCGGGGTTCTCCAAACATCCTGGCCAAGTCCAGCTTCAGGGCCTTTAAACTTGCTTATCTGTTTCCTGGAATGTTCTCTCCCCAGTTCCTCCCGTGGCTTCTACTCGTTCTCTCAGGAGGATCTTATCTGCAGTGTTAACAGCAAGAACTCCGGAGCCAGCCTGCCTGGTGGGAACCCCAGCTCTGCCACTGTGAGCAAGGTACTGGCTCTGTGGCCTGAGTGGATGGGTTGTTGTGGGGATTAAATGAGTCGGTGTATGTAAGCCTTTGGATAGTGCCTATTCCATGGGAAGCCTGTGTACGAGTTAGCTCCTAGTATTAGTCAATTACATATGTCACCTTGTGTCACAGTAGTCCTCCGTGCATCCCAGTCATTCTCTCCTCTTACCCACTATCTGAGAATATATTATCAATCTGTTTGTTTCTTGCTTCCCTCTCCACCATAGAACACAGGAACCACGAGGACAGGGACCCCGTCTGTCCTGTTCACTGCTATACGTTCAGTGCCTAAAGTAGCATCAGGCACGCAGTAGCTGCTCAAGAAATGGGTAATACTGCTAAGGAACTTCCGGTTGTAAGTGGGTAAAGTGCTTCCGAGCTCCTGTGTGGCATAACACAGCTTTTCCACAAAAATTAGTTTCCTTCTTTGCTCAGACTCTCTTATAATGGTACCACTTCAATCCGTAGAGTAGTGAACAGGATGATCTTAAAAGGTAAATTTACAAGCTGCTGTGATCTATGCAAATTGTTTTCTAATAATACATAGGATATAGCCCAGGGTCTGGATTTTTGCCCAATGGGCTATTTTCAGCTCTGACAAAATCACAATGTGACTTTTCTTCTGAAAGAAGAGAGAGAGATGACTTCTCATAGACAATAGAACCCAAAAGGAGCTGAGGTGGGGATATATATGAAGGACAGCACAGCAGAGCCATGAAAGCTGGGGGACAAAACTCGTAATACATAACTTGCAGAGCTTGTTGGCCAAGGCAGGCCTTCTTCTCTTTTCAAAAGAGAATAAATCCCAAGATTCCCTTGCAGCTAGGTATGGGCTTATGACTGGTCTTAGCCAATGGGATATAAGTGGAGGAGGTAAGTGGAGCTACCAGGAAGGTTCCTTGAAGGGACTTTTCTTCCTTTTCTTTGACCTACTGTCTGAGAATGAAGATATGATGGCTGGAACTGGAGCAACCATCTTGGCTCGTGAGTAAACAGAGGCCATGGTTGGAGCTACAAGAGAGAAGGAGCCTGGCTTCAGGAGGCTTTTGTGGAACAGAGCTGCCACTATCCCTGGGCTATTCATCTCTCAGTTTTTATTTGAGAGAGAAATAAACTTCTATCTTTTTAAGCCATTGTTGTTTTGAATTTTCTACTACTCATAGCCAAACCTAATCTTAGCAAACACAGCATCATAAAGGATAAATACTGAACTAAATTTTGACCTATTAAATAAAACCTAGGGGTTGTCTGCAAAGAGAAAGCCATGACACAGGGAGTGCAGACCAGTATGGGTAAAGGTCACAAGATAAGAAAAAACTCAGATGAGGTTAACAGACAGGTCTCTTAGCTAAACCCACTGGAACATTTCCTCAGTTCTTTAGTGATAAAAAATTAAAAACTAACACCACTGCCTTGCCAGGTAGCATGGAAGTTCCTTTACTTAAGAACAGGTCATATTCTTTGTAAGGCTATTTGAGTCCAGAGGGACCAAGGCCCTGGGAGCATTTCACTTAATCAGAATGTGAGTCCTCTGAAACTTTAAAACCAGCAGATGCTTCATCTTCAGAGAGATAAGTATTTCATGTGCCATCCTTTCTCCAAAGCAGATCAGTTCCATGTGCTAGGGTGGTCTGCGGAGCTGGGTGGCTCTCTCCTGCCTCCACCTGCGGCTCATGGAGCACCTCCAATACCAAGAGAGGCACACATCTCACCTCCCCACTCACTCTGATGTTGTGCCAATTTGAAGGGCCTGGAACGTATGATCCGCACCTAGTTATCCACAAAGGACCATGTGTGCACCAACACCCACCCCGTCTTCACTTCCCTTGTTTTTGTTTATTTATTCCCCATTCTCCCCCCATCTCCCCATAGACTGTAAGTATCTCAAGCGTAGGGACTACATCTGTTCCAGTCATTAATGTGTTCCCAGTGGCAGCAAGTATGTTTGGCATATATTAGACACTCAATAAAAGAGGTGCTGAATGAGCAAATACACACTTCAATTACAGCACTTTGATCACACTCTGCCACCAGATCCTTGAACAAAGTCCCAGCTCTCTCCTGAATTAGCATCCGGCTCACAGGCAGCCCACATGGGTGCTTGTCCTATAGCGCCCTGTGCTCAAGTTCTCGCGTTCGTCCTCTCCCTACTCCCTTGCTGATCATCATGGACGCCTTATGTGTACCGGGTTGCACGCTAAGCACTCCGTCCCTCTGACCCGTGCCTCCTTTGGAATGAATCACAATGCACGAGCGCAGTCATTATTTTCTCTCAGCACTTTCAATCTTTTATTCTCTCTCCTTTCAATTGCATCACAGTTGCGCCCCTTTTATTTCAGGCACATGAAAACATCTGCTGCTTTTGGACTTTCGGGACACCATTGGATTAATCATGTTTGCAAAATACCTCAAAACGGAGTAGAAACCCAGCAAGATTGCTACTCTTAAATGGAGGACTCTGTGGTCCAGTCTGGAGGGAGCTTGTGCTGTAACTATCGCCATCTGCTGGTGGGAGGCTGAGCTGATGTGATCTGAGCGACGTGATAGAGTGTTGTTTGTATCTAGGTAAGTTTGTCACTTGGAAATTCATAGGCAGAGAATTTTTTTCTTAACCTGTAGTTTATTGGATTCCATTATACTTAAGTTAAATCCAGAGCATAATCTCTTTTAATGTCTTTCCATAGTGTGTGAGTTCCAACATTCTTATTTATTCCTTTGTGTTGAATCCACAGTGTCTGGGAAATAAAGGATTCTACTGAATATTGCTATAGTTCAGTTTGTCCCAAACTGTGTTTTGTGGGACATTAATAGGTGTTCCCACCTAAAAAATGTTTTTGACAAAATAAATTCGGGAGCCCTGGCATACCTCACTCTGGGATATTCACAATGTGTATTATCATTTAAAAGTCTTTTTTTTTTAAACCTAGTGTTTCTCAAACTTGGTGACCATAGAACTTTTCCCTGATGTAACATCTTGTATTCCAACATTTTTAGGGACATGTTGAGAGATATATTTTCTGGTAGATCATATGTTTCTTGGAGTCAAGATTTTGGTGCAAAAGGGGCCAAAACTGTAATCATAGCACTCCTGACAGAATACTGCCTGTGCAAAGCTCATTTCAGTCCTGCTGTGCAAAGCTTTAAACCAGCCCAGCTAAGGAAGACAGTAGCTGCTTGACATTTTGGAAAGGGTCCTCATGGCTATCTAGTTAGGGACACTGAGCATCTTTCCCCAGCAGGTAATGCAGAGTCTCAGCGATTGTTGCATTTTGTGGAGGAGAAGCCTGAGAAAATTCCAGACGCTGCAGAAGGCTTGAAGTACTTGCCTTGATTTTGAGTAGGCTCATCTTGGCTTGCACATGTCTTAATCTGAGTAAGGCCAGGATTATTCACTGTGTGGGTGTGGCAGCCCAGGAGGACAATGACAGAAGTCCCAGTTTCACATTGTTCTTTATTTGGTTGTACATCCAATGCATCAAAATGATAGAGGATGTTCCAGGGTCCTTCCAAGAGCTCAAGCTGGGAAGCTCCCATGGTTGGGCATTCCTTAAAGACTAGTCATCCCACCAGAATTCTAGAGATTGGGTTTGTGTGTGAGGGAGCGGGGGTGAGTTATAAAACATTAGAAAATGTCCTGGGTGTCAGGAATTTAAAACTGAAATACTGAAACTCAACTTCTGTGGGAATGATGATATTATTGGGCATTTGCACTCCCCTGTTGATGACTGGTTGTGCAAGGTCAGAGTTTGCAACTCTCAGCCTCTAACTACTCTGTAAGAACTGCAGGAAGTCAGCTGACTGTGGGTTCTGGCTGTGGATGCTGTTTAATGGCATTATTCCTAATGCTTTTAGAGTCCCCTCTTAAATCCACATAAGTGCTAGGTGCTAGTTCTGGCAACATTGCTATGGCCAACTGGCCACAGGTGACCAACCTAAAGATTTGTTTGACTTGATGATCAACAGCTCCAACCTTCTAAACACATTTTTTCTAAAGTTAAATTTCTGACTTTCAAGTAAACTGATGCAGTGGATGAATTTAGAGGAATGACCCTGGTATTTGTTTAATTCCATGGGGAATATTTTTGGAAATCTATTGCTAACTTCCTGTTTTTGGGGTGGTCCATTGGCATAAATATCTCAGACATGGATTCCCAGACTCAAAGAGGCTTTTGTGCTGCTATTTTAATGATCAGCATCAGCATCATTACCAATCCTTACATTTGTAAAGCTGTATTCATCAGGACTCTTGGTGGCAACTGATCGCAACCCAATTCAAGCTGGCATAGCATAATGAGGCTTTATTGGCTCACAAAGGTTGAGAGTCCGCAGGTAGAGCTGGATTCAGTCACTCAGTCTAAATAACACCTCCCCTTCAGTCTTCATGGCACTTATCGTAACCTGGCATTATATTATGTGTCTACTTGGTATTTACTTATTGCCTGGGGTTCCCCCTGGACTGCAAGCTCCAGTAGGGTAGGGTCTTTCTTTTCTTCATCACCAAATACCAAACTTCCAGAAATGGACATGGAATATAGGAGGAACATAATAGCTAGTTGTTGAATGAAAGAACAAATGAATGAATTCATACAGGTACTCAAATGACATCACTGGAAATTTGTCTTTAAAGGTCTTTTGTCCTGCTTCTCTCTCTGTTGCTTTCATTCTTTGGAATGCCCCTTCCCTTGTCGGGACAAGATAGCTCCCTGCAAAAATAGAAACTTGTTTTTTCTGAATAGAACCAGCAAAAGGCTCACTGGCCAGCTTAGGTCATATGACCATCCCTCATCCAATGAGCATGGCCAAGGGGATGCTGTTGGCTCCAGCGAACCACAGAGTCTGAGGGTGGGAGGATATAGGCTTGAGCAGATCTGACAGGGAACGTGGCTAGAATAATAGAGTTTATTAATTGTTCTCAGTTGCACTTTATCAACTGCTCCTCACAAAACCTCGTAAGGAAAGTAGAACAGTATTACCATCCCCAATTCACAGATGAGGAAATTGAGGCTCGAGGAGGTACACTTCTTCGAGCAGTTAGGAAGTGGTGGAGCTTCAAGTCTTGACTTCACGTCTTTTTAGGCTTGACCCAGTGTTCTTTCTGCTACATCAGATCACCTGGCAGGATAGCTTCTCAATGTGGAGGAAAATGACACATGGCTTCTCTTTGCGGAAGGGACTGTAAAAGTGGAAAAAGGTAAGAGATTTGATAAAATCCTTAAGAGGTTTTTACTTCTCTGGCCAGGTGACTTTATTTCTCTTGCTGGTCTCTCTGGGGAGCCAAGTGGTTGGAAATGACTGGTAATAGCTCAAAGGTTTTGCCTGGTACACAGAAAGCGAGGACTCAAGATGGTATGGGGAAGGAGTAGCAATAACAGCAAATTCTCTGAGCCTGATGACCTGAATCTGGAAAAATAAATGGCATCATATTTAGGCAATTCACAATCCCCTCTGAGCCATGTGGAAGCACAGAGGTTTATCTTCCTGCCAGCTTTGCACACATGTATCGAATACCAATTTTACGAGAGGAGAGGAATCTCCGGGACCATCTGGACCTCTAACTCTCAACCACTGTTTCACGGCCTGGTGAGCCAAAGTTTTAGCACCTCATGCCTGTGCCTCCCCCTGCCCACTCCCCCCACTCTTTCTTGATCTCAGTGGCTGTGTCTCTTTTGCTCTCTCCTTCTGGGGTCAGTGGTAGAACATTTATAGGATTTACCAGTTCACAGTATGATTTCGACTGGAAATCATTGATCTGGTGGTTTCCCAGTTGGAGAACTGGGCTGAGAAAAAGTAATTTGTCCAAGATTGTGGTGATAAGCGGAGGAACTGAGCCTTAAACCCAACTTTTTTTTTAAACTTCAGGTTGTTTCCAATAAGCAGTGCTTCTCAGCCTGGCTGGGTCCCACCCGGGGGTTCTGATTTAACTGGTCTGAGGTGTGGCTGAGGTATCTGGACTTTCAAAGTCTCCCCGAGGGATTCTAATGTGTAGCCAGGGTTGGGAACCTGAACAACGCCCCCTGCCACTCTGTGGGGTGAAACGCAAGGCTGCTGCTCACTCTGGAAGAGGGTAGAGGAACTCGGGGTAGAAGCAGGTTGGAGAGCATTTGAGAAGCTTATAGGAGAAAGGGAGAGATCCAATATCTATGGAAGCTGCCTGAGCTGGTGGAGGAAATCGATATTGGCTTCTTGATGCAGACTGTGTAGAGGACAAGGCCACCGCCAGCCCCCAGTGTTTTTGTGCAAATTAGAAAAACAGCCCCCGTAGGGAGACTCAGCCCTGCAGGCACCATGATTGGCAAGACGATGGTTGCCTTTTGAATTTTAAAAAGGACCCCCTCTGCCTTAAGGATAGAGCTTTGCACCAGGCACGTGGCCCACTGAGCAGAACAAGGACTGGGTTTCGGTGTCCGTGTGCCCAAGAATGGGGCAGCCTGGGATGGGGAAGTCCAACCAACTAGCAATTCCATTCGTCTACAAGCTGGGTGTCTGACACTTTCTAGACTTGCCTTACTGTTAAATTCGTGTGTTGGCACACAGGGAGAAACACATGGGGTCCTACGACTCTAGTCCTTGAACTGGTAAGGAGAAATTGGGTGATAAAGAAGACCTTAGAGTCTTTGGGAAGCTTCCGTGCTGTCCCAGAGTGGATGCAGCTGGCACAAGCCCTAAAGCTTAAGAAGGTGGAACTGAGTGGAGTAAAGGAAAGATGGCCAATCCGTAGTACAAGACTTAAAAGTAAGATGGCTCAAGAGAATTGGAAGATTGTTAAAAATATAACTCTTCTAAAATATTTTTTCATGTTACAAAACCAATCCAAACTAATTACAGAAAATGTAGAAAATAGAAATGAGCCAAAAAGAGGAAAGCCATTACTCAGAAATAACTACTAACAGTTTTTTGTTTATCCTATCAGTCTCTTTTCTGTGCTTATAGATACATTTAGGATCCATTTATACATATTGCAAAACGGAATCATATGTATAGACTGTCTTGTAATCTGCTTCTTAACTTAAAAATATGCCACAAACAGTCCCATGTAATAAGCTATTCTCCCACCTTGTTATTTTAATGGTTACATGGTAACCCATTTAGTGATTCTATCATAATTTATTTAATCAATCCTTATTTTGGAATTGACATTATTTCTAGTTTTTTAATATTATCAATAGAGTTTGATGAACATTCTTCGAGTATTCTCTCTTGCCATTTTCCTGAATAAATGCTTAGAAGTAAAAGTCAGGGTCAAATACAACTTGCCAAATGACTCAACAGGAAGATGATACCATTTTCTACTCCTATCAGCAGTGGGTGGAAATGTGGGTTTCCCAGAACCCCCTCCAACGAGAGTCAGAACAATGGCTCTGATTTAGCAGTTTGATGCTCTAAATGACATGCAATGGGGTGCCCTTCCTGGGATGGAAGGGCAGAGGGTGAGACCTTGAAGGTGGGCAGTCCCAAAGAGCTGGTTCCAGGAGTGTGTTCTCACACAGTGAGGTTTCAGAAAGATGTTCATCCCCCCTGTGCTGAATCTGAGCCTCTGGAGTGCTTCCTCCCATGCTCACAGCACCAGGGACAGAGTTCCTTCCAGGCATGGTGTTCATGGGCATCCTCACCGCAGGCACCTGCAGCACTGCCTGTGAGCCCAGTGGGAGGCACGGAGTCTGGGGACAAGCTTCTTTAGAGTTGGAAGACCTGGGAGGGACGCCATCAGCTCCCTCTCTGAGAGGGCTGGGAGGCCTTCAACATGTTGCCAAGTGAGGAGGACGTTGGGCTCTTTTCTTAGAAACCTCTTTTCTTTTCTTTTTTTTTTAGTAATAAAGTTTAATTTTCATATAGAAATAATGCACATTCTCTAAAGAAGATGTGGAAAGCATGGGAATATAAAGTGAAGGAGAAGTTATTCATGGACACACCACCCGAGGATGAATGTTGGTACCTGTCTTTCCAGTCCTTTGTGTGTGTGGACGTGTTGTGTCCACACACAATTATTCTTTTTGTGTAGTTGCAATTGCACCTTCCACATTATTTTTCTACCCTGGTTTTTTCATTTTAACATCATGTGCATTTTCCATGGTATTACATAGTCTTGATCAACATTTTTTGATTATGTAATTTTCGGTTGTGTGAATGGGCCACCATTCGTTGTTCACTATTAATGTTTAGATTATTATTTCCACTTTGCAGATGAGGAAACTGAGACCTATAGGAGGTACAAGATTTACCCAATATCACAAGACAGGTAAGAGGTCCAACCAATATTTTATCCATTCATATATCAGTTAAATATTCATTCATTTGACAGACATTGATAGAACACCTGCTATTGTGTCATATGCTATAAGGCCTTTGTGAGGCCTAAACAGTATTCCTGCTCATGTGACATTTATAAATCAGTGGGCAGTACAACCTTGTTGGAGCTGTTACAGAAAAGTTCCTTGGTTCTATAAGATCTCAGAGAAAAGGCGCTTACCCAGTCTGGGGTCTGAAAATGCTTCCCGGAGGGGGTAATGTCAAAGCTCAATCTTACAGGAAGAGTGAAAGTTTGGGAGAAGGGTTAAGGGAGCAGCCACATAAAGGTCTAGAGGTGAGAGGGAGCAGCATATGCTCTGGGAACTGCCAATAATTGGCCACGGTGCTTGTTGGGAGAGATGGGGCTGGATCTGTAGGTGGGAACCAGCTCATAATGAGTTTGTATGGCCTGCCAAGATCTTTGGATTTGATCCTGAAAGCAATGGGAGATTGTGGGTGCATTTTAGGCAGGAGATTTGCATCATCCTCTTTGGATTTTAGAAGGAGCCACTGATGTCATGGAGGGGACTGGACTGGGGAGATTGAAGTCAAGGAGATCAGTTGGGAGAATATTCAGATGAGAGGTGTGGGGGCTCCCACTGAGGCTGGATAGTTGGGATGGAGGGGAAGGTATGGATTTAAGGAATAACTGGAAGGCAAGGCAGAGAGCAGACACAACTCTGTGAAGTTTGCCTAGAGGACAGGGCAATGTGATGCCATCACTGAGTCTGGAAATCCATGAGGAGAAGTGCTAATGAGCTCTATGTGGACCTCTGTCATGGACTTGTTTGAGCTGCCCTTGGGACTAAGTGGGTGGTTGGGTGCAGAGAGGTGAGAGGTTTTTGTGGAGGTAAAGATTCAGAGTCATCAGGGTGGGGGTGACGTTCAAGGCCTGAGGGAAGGTGAGAACCGACCTGGAAGCGAGCAGAGCAGGGTTGGTAACCTACTGGCAGTCATGGACCCCTGCATGGATCTTAAGAAACCCATGAACCCCCAATTCAGAAATCTACAGAGAGAAGAGTTTAACTAGTTTACATACTTTTCTTGGAGTCTGTGGGTGCTCTGAAGCTCATCCTTGGCGTAGGGTGAGAAATGAAGTCTAAGTTGGCCTTTGGGGGACACCAGTATTTCAGGGGCAGGTGGAGGGGAAGCCTTAAAGGAAACTGAGAAGGAACTGCTCGGGGTGAGGGTATCGGAGCAGAATGAAAACACTGAGAGAATGATGTTCTGGAAAGAGGGAAAACAGTTTCATGAGGACAAAGGTGATCGACAGTGTCAAAGGGTCGACGTGAAGGTTAAGGTTAGGTCAGCGTCACCTGAAGCTGCAGCTCAACAGGCTGAGCGCCAAGAATCCTGGAAAGACCCAGGCTTCTGATTCACAGGCCAGCACCCTCCCTGCACCCTCTTCTATTTCGTGACTCTCATTTAGAATCTCAGGGGAGCGCATTCATCCACCACAAAGAGCCACTCCTAGTTTATTACAGGGCTCGCTTTGAGCACATTTGGTGCGTGAGAATAGGAAATTGCAAATAGGTTCTGGGCTGAGGCTGTGTGGTGATTATTGCCCTCAATTCTTACCCCTGCGTATACCCAGGCCCTTTGCTAGGAGGCTTGGTAATCCCTTCCACAGAAGAGTGAGTATATTTCCCTGCTCCTTGCCTTTGGCTCAGCCATATGACCTGCTTTGGCCAGGTGGACATTAGCAGACCTGATGCAAGAAGGAGCTTGGAATGCCTTGTGGAGTTGGTCTTGCCCTCTCGAGCTTATGTCGTTGCCTTGAGAAAAGCCTGGCTGGGTAGCTCACCGCTCCCAGGAGGCGGATGAGAGGCATGTGGAGCAGAGCCGTCCCTAGCCGACCCTCTGAAGACGAAGATGTGCTCGGTGTTGTACGTCACTGAGACCTTGAGGCTCCTGGTTTCAGGGCCATCAGTGAGTTCTACAGCCTGCCTTCAACACAGCCCTCCTGGCTCCCCGAAAGCTTTCCCCTTCTCAGGGTCCCCCTTCCTGCCTCCCTGCTGGGGCGTTGCTTCCCTGCCGTAGACTCGCTCCCCCTGCTCCCAGGACCTGATCTGGGGCAGGAGGGGCTGCACAGCTCCAGCCCACCCCCGTTGCCAGTCTGCTTATTTCAGACGAGCCCTGCATGATCTGCATGCCTTCACGTCTGCTGTTTCTTACTCCGACCTGAGGCCCGTCCCAGTCAGATGCCCTTCAGTTCTAACTGGGGTGAATTAAAGAATTCATTCAACACATTTTATTGCAGTCCTACTGTATACCAGTCCATTAAAAGAAAACTCTCCTTTTTTTTTTTTTTTTAAAGCAAATAGTTGTTTGTTTTCACGTAAAACACACCCAGTGTAATGCCTGGACGTAGTTGGTGGTCTACTGGTGGCAAACACATTGCTATTCTAGAAAATACTTTAGTGAGTATATTTGTGCATAGATCTTGGTTTCCATTTTTAAAAAATTTCTTATATTTTTAATTACAAAAGTAATGCATGCTTGTTTTAACGAATTAAAATATCAAATTCCATTTCAATTTTAAATTAATTCCCAGGAGCTTGGTTTGTGTGTCTCCCAGGGAAGTGTCTGCTGGGTAAAGTGAGGCTCAGCTGTGGCTCAGTCTTGTGCGAGGGATGTGTTCTGCGATGGGCCCGGCAGGGGGTGACTTCCCCACACGAGTTAACTGCTGCTGTTGTTACCGTCCCCATCAGCACCGTCAACAAGCAGACCCGAGTGCTCAGACTGTGCCTTCCTCTGCCAAGGTGATGCCGTCCAGGCCCTTCCAGCAGGCCTTCCCAGTGCAGCCTCCTTGGCCCCCGCTTTGCGCTCCCCTTGGGACTGCAGATGAGCAAAGTGCCCGGGGTTGCCACCTCCTGGCTTTCTCCCAGAGGCGCTGGGTCACGGTGAGCAGGAAGCCTTCCTCTGAGTGCCCTCCGCTCCTACCATTTGGTGGCCTGCATCGCTCATTGCTCCCCTGAGATGGGGATTCCTCCGCAGCCCTCCTGTCCTCTCCTTCTCCATCCTCCTAGGCGTGCAGTCAGTGTCCAGGCCCTTGCAGTTCCCAAGCCTCCTCTCCCTTGCATAGTCTCGTGGTACTGTCCTCTCCTCCCCATGTGGCTGCCACTTTGCAAAACTCAGGATGCCAGAAACTCCTGCTAGGAACATCGAAACGGCCTCCTCTCTGGTCACCCTTCCTCCAGCCTCTACCCGCCGTTGCCTGAGTTCAAGTGTATCTCCTGGCTCCTGATGCCTGGAGACCTTCCATGGCTCCCCCTTGTCTTGTTAAATCATTCTCAGTTGCTTCAAGGTTCACGAAGATTTAACCTGAAACTACTTTTCCAGCCCTTTCCTCTTGCCTGCTCCTTACGAACCCTGCAAACGGCCAAAGCAGACAGTTCCTTGAACATGCCCCTCACCACCGCCTCCCGGGGCCTGCGCATGCTCTCTCCCTGGTGGGAATGTCCTCCATCCCTACTTGTCCACTCTACTCATTTTAAGAGATGCTCAGATACCCCTTCTCCATGGGCCTTTTCTGATTTCTTCAATCAGAACTGATTTCACTTTGCTCTGGGTACCTTGGTACCATCACTCCTCTGGACCAGGATTTCTCCACTCGGCTCCATTGAGATCAGAGGGGTGTGTATTCCTTGTGGTGGGGGCTGTCCTGCACGTTAGAGGATGTTTAGCAGCCTCCCTGGCTTCCACCCACTACATGCCAGTAGCACCTCCCCACCTAGTTGTGACAACCCCACATGCCTCCAGACATCGCCCAAAGTCTACTGGGGCAGGGGAAGGTAGGGGGATGAGTCACCCCCAGGTGAGAACCCCACTGCCTTACAGGAATATTTATGCAACAAATGCCCCACCACACTTGGTTTGTGTCTCCCCTGGGATGGTGCTGCTTAATCATGCCAGCCCCTTTCAAGCTTCTGAGCTTTTCTTCATGCTGTTCCCTCTCCAAGGAATGCCCTTCACTGCCCTCCTTCATCTGATTTCTTTCTTAGCTTTCAAGGCCTGGGTGGCAGGTTGCCTCCTCTTGTAGTCCTTCCCAACCAACCTCCTCTTTCCCCAGGCAGGATGGATGGCTCTGCTGCCTGAGTTCCCTCAGCACTTCGCACAAACTTCCATCACAGCCCTCACCAGACCAAGTGTGTGTTATAGAAAAATAGTTGAAGGGTTTGTCTCCCCAGGAAGAATGTGGGTTGTGGGTGGCAGGGACCTCGGCCTGCTGAGGCATCCCCAGGTGTGCCAGGGCCCCGCACAGGTGGGAGCACCAAGCACGGGCTGTGCACCGGGTGGCCACACGTGTGTGGGAAAACCAGCACCTGAGTCCCAGCCCTAACTGAGGCATTTACGAGTCGATTGATTTGGGGTGATGCATTCAGCTTCTCAGGAGCCTTAACCTTCCTCTCTGTAAGACTGCGTTAATAAGAGCATCTATCTTACGGGATTGTTTTAAGGATTTAGTAAATTAATACGTGTAAAATGCTCACCTGATACCTGGCGTATAGTAAATCCTCAGTAAATCTTAGTAATGAAGGATGAATGAATGAATGAGCGTTGAACTGGGCTGCCCAGGGAAGCCGAACGCACAGGCTGGTCCATCCTGCTCTGTAGCATGGATGCCTCCCCGGGGAACAGAGCCTTTGGCAAGGAGCGCAGTCTGCTCGGGGAGAGGGGCCGTGGGCTCACTTCACGGTGAGGGAGCCAGGCTGGGCGGAACAAGGACAGACATTAAAAACCTATTTTCTCACTGGGCATAAGTAATTGGCAAAAAAGCTCTAAATCCATAGCTGTCAGGTGAAGTCATTTCCGAGAGAAAAGGAGGGAGGCAGAGAGCTGGAGGGGGAGCGGGGTGGGAACCCGAGGGAGGGAGTGAAATGCAAAATACGATGCTGGAGAGGCCAAGCAGAAATCCTTCCGCTTCCCCATCCCAGACCGGATGGTCTC